GTAGTTGTAGTTATGTCTAAAATTCATAGCAGTAGTAACACAGTAGTCTAAAATAAGAGTTCCACAGAAGATACGACAGACAGAAAAGAACAGTTAATTATGCACGTAGACAGTCATTAAGATGAGAAGAGTAAGTGATGCCATGTTTAAAGAGCAGGAAAAAGTTTAAGAAAATTGACTCTAAAACAGGTTTGAATAGTCTTTGCTTCTTAAGCAGGTTTAACCATACACAAGCTACATTTTTAGCTCATTAGCTCTGACAGATTCTCTAAATCTCTTTGAAGGCTTTGCTATAGTATTTACCTATTGGGTAGTAGAACTTTCACATGGCATGTCGCTGATGTGCATGTCTGCATTTGTTAGCTCTGTATCAGCTTACATATCCCAGAGTTTGAATGTGTATGAGCTAAATGGAAGTACTGATGTTTATTTCTGGCTCCAGTAACTGTCTCTTTCTGAGCAACAGTGGAAAGTGGTATTTCTCAAAACATGCTTAAAAGAACAGTGGTTTTGCTTGAAAGCAATGTTTACTTGAAAGCAATGTTTACAAAAGGCTTTATTGTTAAACATAGTGTTCTCTGAGTATGTATACCTAAAGCTTTTAATTGGCTACTTTAGTATATAAATGTCGAAAGTTTTGGGGGTTTTTGCTAGGAATCTTTGTTGTGATGTGTTGTGACAAGATGTGTTGTGACCTGTTGTGATGTGTTGTGATAAAGGGTACCATAGCAACGCTTGGGTTAAACATTGTTTGTATCAAGTTCAAGGTTCCTGTTTGTAAATACATAAAGTGCATATTACTTCAAAATTAAGAAGCATATGGGTAAAAGGACTTTATTATTTCACTGTGTTGTCTAATTTGATTATACAGTGTGCTACAATCCAGACTGACCTGTCATGGGATTCACTGTAACACAATTCCAAATTCATAGACTATGCTACTGAGCTTTTAAAAGTGAGTAACAGAAGTAAAATTACAAATTATACATCTAAAAAAAAGGTAACAAAAATATCCAAACAGAACATCGAGGGATGTCTTCAACAGAATTTGATACAGACATCAGAATATTCACTTAAGTTCTGTAACATGTAAAACATCAATAATATATTTTTAACTTGTATTTTATACCTCAGTTCCAAGTATGCCCACGTTGCCTAATTTATGAGAAGTCAACCTTCCTTCCATTTTCCTTTCACCTATTTTAACTCAATAAAAAAACTGCTCTTATCACCACTTAGTTACTAATACAAATTAAGCAGATACCTTCATCATTAACAGCCACTGCCACATAATTCAACCACAGATCTTGTGTCAGGAGTGACTGCTTATGTGGTTATTATTTAACTGTGATTAACTTTGGTTGTACCATTTAGCTGGAAACTATAGGTAACAGAGCAGAGTATTACAGTACACATCTACAACAGTTAGGAAATCTTAACCAGAACAACTGACTGATTTAGTCCAACATAACAACTATGAGAAGACAAATACTTAAAGTCAGACATCTGAGATCCCAAGCAACAACTTTCCTCAGAAACTTACAAGGGCATCTCCGTGTTATTCTGGGAAGCAGTCACCATCACCAGCTGCCTCAGGAAAGACACTCTATGAAGCAGGTAGTAATTTATTCTAATACAGTGAAGTACTGAAGCTTTGAAAACTATCAGATTCAAATTATATGATGCTTGAGATGGAGCCAGCCTGAAATTTCTTGTGCAAAGCAGACAAGCAAATATTAAAATTCTTACTTGGAGTTTCTCAAATACAATTTACCTCACTTAAATTAATCTGTATGCCTACAGTTAAAGAAAGCTATTTCTCAGCAGTTCAGAGAATCAGATACAATGCAAGACACGTATTAATGAATGGAAATATGATCTTTAAATTACAATACTAGATTTTCTCCAGATTTCTGTTTTAAGTTTTTGCCCTACTCTTACACATGAACAGTAAGGTTCTGCTTGTGGACACAAAAGCTGCCTGAATTGCAGTTAAATGATCTACAGAGGAGACACAACTAGTCTACACAATGAATGGTTCAAAAAACTGATTTCCAGTCTCCAAGAGAATTGCTCTTCCACTGCATTTCTAATTGAAAGTTTTCTATTATATGAAATAATTTTACCACAGTTTGCAACTTCCCCTAAGAGCCCCTTAACTGTGCAATGTGAGCAGAGTACATGCGCACAATTTCTAGGTTATACAGCCTTATTCTTAACTGACTGCAAGCTTTCTGTTTGTATAGTTTTTACTCAGAATACTACAAGTAGCTCCAGAACATGATTTCCTCTACCATCAGATATTTAGATACTGTGTTCTTTTAGCAGCTTACTATTTCTACATACCGAGCTTTAGTACAGGCTAAAGTGGACAGCATGGGAAAAACAACCATTAAAAGAAAAAGCTATCATAAATGACTGAAACAGAAATCAGAGCTAAAATGCTGGGTTTGTGTGATTATTTACCATGGATACAAACTAGCAGCTAGGTAGAAAATAACCTCCTTTTGGCTTAAAGCAAAAAGAACAATGGCAAGATACTCAAATCTTGTGCTCACTCTGTTACAGGTGAGTCATTAGAACCTGTGGGTTAGAATTAGAACTGGACTTCTTTCCTTTAACAGGAGATTTTTTATTGGTTTTTTTGGTGGGTTGGGTGGTTTCCTTTGTTTTTACTATCAGTTCAGTCTGGACATGTCATCACAACATGCAGAAACAATGTGCAGAAAATACTTACAGGCTTTTAGAAAATTTATTTAATAGAACACAAAGCAGCAAGATCCCATTTCTCAGTGAAAGGTGACTATAAAATGCCAAATTAAGACCCTGAAAAAGCCTCACGCTTTATTGTGCCTTCTTGTTCCCACCAAACAAGAATCATCTGGTCTAGAATTCTCTGCAAGAACTGCTACATCACAAGAAAATCCAATACAATTTGTCCTTTAGCCCTTCTACATGTATCTATAATCACTTAAGTTAGGAAAATACTTTCTTTTTCTTTCCTGCCACAGTAGTAATTTTAAAGCTTTAACAATGAACGTTTAGCTGCTGGTGGTGGGGAGCAATGAAACACAAGAGAGTTACACATCATACAGGCATGCTTTCATTCTGATTTGGATTTAAGTTAGAAGTCTAAACAAAAATAAAGTCACCTGATAATTCCTCAGTCTTCTTCAAAGGCATTATGTTACTACTCACTTACAAACTTCCTTTTGGAAAGCTATGAACTGTGATGTCTCCGGACATGACTACTGCAGCTTCCAGAACACTGCACAGTTAAGCTGGTCACCTGGTTAGGGAACTCAGTCCTCTATTCTTCCAGTCTAGCTTACACACAGAAGCTCATTTGCTCTCCCTTAATGACTTCACACTTAGGCCATGTATTACTGCTTGGCAATCTGAATCAATCCTTCTTAGGTGAATTTATAGAGGAGTCCATGCCTGGGAGACCTGACCTTTTCCGGGCTGCAGTCTCTATTTTCCGTACCAGGTCCACATCCCACCGATGGGTGACAAAACTAACCACAGCTCCAGGTGTCTTGCTTCCAACCCGTCCAACTCGCCCCACGCGGTGCAGGTAGTCCTGCAGGGTGTCTGGGAAGTCATAGTTGACCACTAGCTGCACACTGCTGGTGTCCAGCCCGCGCGAGGCAAGGTCAGTGCAGACAAGGATAGACACGTCACCCTTCTGGAATGAGGCAAAGATGTCAGCTCTAGCAGCTGCTGACATCTGTCCCTGCAACCTCAGGTGCTTGATTCTGTGGTCATCCAGGATATAGCCCAGCCAGTTCACAGTGCTGGCACTTTTACAGAAGATAATAATAGCCCCACTGGACGCTGGGTGCTCCTTGAGGAGCTGCAGCAGCTCAGGCAGCTTGTCCTGGCCTTTGATGCGGACAAACTTCTGCTGCACATGGGGTGGCAGGCGGTGCAGGCTCCGGGTGGCAAGGGTGACAAACTGGCCCACATCGGTGAACTTCCCCAGGGTCTGGCACAGCCCCGTGGGGAATGTGGCTCCTACCACCACCACCTGGGTCCTCTCTTCCCACAAGCCAGCCGGCCCCGGTGCACCAACGGCCAGGGGCGCGTGTGCCAGGATCTCCTCCAGGATCCCCGCGAAGGAGTCATCCACCAGGGTGTCCGCCTCGTCCAGCACCATCCAGCGCAGCCGCTCCAACGCCAGGAAGCGCCGCCGCAGCGCCTCCCGCAGCGCTCCGGGGGTGCCCAGCAGCACAGCGGGGCCCGGCGGCGGGGCCCGCAGCTGCCTCCGCAGCCCGCCCGCCGCGCCTCCGCCTGTCAGCCCGCGCACATGCAGCCCCGCCGGCCGGCACAGCGCCGCCGCCACCGCGCCCACCTGCAGCGCCAGCTCCCGCGACGGCAGCACCACCAGCCCTCGGGGCGCCGGCGGCCCAGCCGCTTCCACCTCCGGCGCCGCGGGGCGGGAGAGCAGCCCATCCAGCAGTGGCAGCAGGTAGGCCAGCGTCTTCCCGCTGCCGGTCTCGGCGGCGCAGAGGGCGCTCCTACCGCGGCGCAGCGCGGGGATAGTGATGCGCTGCACCGCCGTGGGGCGGCTGATGGAGAGGCTCCCCAGGCCGGCTAGCAGCGCCGGCTGCAACCCCATCTCCTCAAAGGATGGGCCCTGCCCCGCATCAGGCGGCACCTGCAGGGCCGGAGCCGCCGACTGTAAGGGCTCCAGCTGAAAGTAGTCCCCGCAGGCCTTCCTGTGCTTCCAGCCTGCCGACACCAGCTGCGGTTGCTCCCACCGCCCCACCGTCTGCCAGCTGGGCTGGCTCAGCTCTGGCCGCCGGCTCCGCAGCAGCAGCTTCCCGGTTCGCCGCGCCGCCGCCTCTCCTTGCTTGCGCTCACGGCGCTGCCCGCCCCGCTGCAGCCGCATCCGCAGGGCCCAGGGGACGCGCACCACGTTCTCGGGGGGCGCCGCGCCCTCCGCCGCCTCGGTGGCCGTCAAGCGCCGCGGAACCAGCGGAAAAGCAGCCACTACCCCACCGCGGCTCAGCGCCATGACTGCCTTTCACGTGGTGGTGGCGGCGCTGCCCGATGACGCTTCAGCAGACGCTTCCCCTGGTTCCCCCGCCCCTAAGAGTCGCGGCATAGCCACGCTAAGACGGTGAGTGCCGCGAGTGCGGGGCGTGCGCGGGCCCGCGGCCCTACCTCACGCGGAGGGGTCGGCAGCGGGTACCTCAGGAGGCAGCAGCGATGGCGGTGGGCTCTTCACGTTCGCGCTTTTGGCTGGCGGCTGAGAGCTGACCCCCGCGAGGGGAGCAAACATGGCCCTAAGCGGCTCTGGCAGAGGCGGCCCAGCGCGCCTGCTCGGGGAAGGATCCCCCACGGGCCGCCCTGGCACCTCAGGGACCGCTGAGGGAGCAGAAGGGGAGAGGCCGGCTGGCTCGCTGCCATGGGAGCGCTGTCAGATGTGACCAGGCCACACGCTGCTCCCACCCTCCTTCCCGCCAAAGGAAAGTTCTGGGCGTTCACGAGTAGGAAAAGCTATTCCATATCGCTCTCCTGCGATTTTCTCTCTCAGGTATTGCCGCAACAGGAATGACGGTGAACACAGCTCTGTGTTTTAGAGGAAAGAAGATCCTCGCTCCAATGGTCAGAGTGGGAACATTGCCTATGCGTCTCCTTGCTCTGGACTTTGGTGCTGATATCGTGTACTGTGAGGTATGAAGGATGAGCAGATGACAGCGTCTTAAATAGTAACGTAATTGTACAGAAAAGTACCAGTAGAGTTTGTTTATTGTAGAACTTTTTCCTTTTACACATACTTTTCATTAGAAAAAAGGGGAAAGGTCCCTGGCTTAAGGCATTTCCCTTTAAGCAGTTCTCAAGTTACACAAAACCGTTTTTTAAAGACTGTTTAATAATTTCAGTTTTTCATAGACAAGACATGATAATTTCCTCACATTCTAGTGGGTTTTGGTTATTGTTGGTGTTTGGTTTTGTTTGGGTTTATTTTTTTGAGTCATAACATAGAAGGAAGCTTTAGACTGACATACTGTCTCACCTGGTTATGCTGTGCTAACCCAGAGCATCCATATATACCCGTCACAGTGTTGCTGTCATTGTTGCTTAACCACTTTTCTTAAAGCTGACAAGTTGAGACTCCAGTTTTCTGCAGGTATCACTGGTAAGGACTGCTCTGTAACTAAAGGTACTTAGTCTTCACTGTCTTTGTTGTTACAGTGCATCAGTATCCCCATTTTCTCCTTCAGCATGATTATTATGTTAGGGATAGGATGGAGAGTATGGAACTCTGTCTGGGGAAAGGTGAGCAGTTAACAGAGAGTTTGTGGGTCAGGGTTAAAGGGAAAACAGCGATGGGAGACATTACTGTGGGGATCTGTTACAGACCGCCTGGTCAAGGAGAACCTGCAGATGAAGCACTATATAGACAGATAGGAAAAGGCTCACGCTCACAAGCCCTTGTTCTCATGAGGGACTTCAACCACCCTGACATCTGTTGGAGCGATGGTATGGCCCGACACAGGCAATCCAGGAGGTTCCTCGATTGTGTGGAAGACAACTTCCTTCTGCAGGTAACAGAGGAGCCAACAAGGAGAGGTGCCATGCTTGACCTCGTGCTCACGAACAGGGAAGGGCTTGTTGGAAATGTGGCGCTCCAGGGCAGCCTTGGATGCAGTGATCATGAGGTGGTTGAATTTGAGATCCTCAGGACAGTGAGAAGGGTGTGCAGCAAGCTCACTGCCCTAGACTTCAAGAGAGCAGACTTTGGCCTCTTCAGGAACCTGCTTAGTGAGGTTCCATGGGATATAGCCCTAGAGGGCAGGGGGGCCAAGACTCTTGGTTGATATTCAAGGATCACCTGCTATAACCTCAATAGTGTTGCATCCCAACTAGAAGGAAGTGCAGCAGAAGGGCCAGGAGACCTCTTTGGATGGATAAGGAGCTGCTGAGGAAAATTCAAATGAAAAAAGAGGCTTATAGAAAGTGGAAGCAAGGACAGGTGGCCTGGGAAGAGCACAGGGAGGTTGTCTGGGAAGCTAGGGATCAGGTTAGGAAAGCTAAGGCCCAGTTAGAATTAAACTTGGGTAGGGATGTTAAGGATAACAGGAAGGGATTCTACAGGTACATAGCAAATAAAAAACAGACTAGGGAGAACGTAGGCCCCCTCAGGAGGCTCTCAGGAGAACTAGCTACACAGGATTTGGAGAAGGCTGAGGTTCTGAATGACTTCTTTGCCTCGGTCTTCACTGGCAAAGGCTCTGACCGCACCACCCAAGTCTTGGAAGGCAGATGCAGGTGCTGGGAGAATGAAGACCTCGGGCCCACAGTAGGAGAGGAACTGGTTTGAGACCATCTTAAAAATCCAAGCATGCACAAGTCCATGGGTCCTGATGAAATCCATCTGCAGGTCCTGAAGGAGCTGGCAAATGAAGTTGCTAAGCCGCTGGCCATCATATTTCAGAAATGATGGCAGTCAGGTGAAGTTCCCGATGACTGGAAAAAGGGAAATATAACCCCCATTTTCAAGAAGGGGAAAATGGATGACCCAGGGAATTACAGACCAGTCAGTCTCACCTCTGTGCCTGGCAAAATCTTGGAGCAGATTCTCCTGGAAGGCATGCTAAGGCACATAAAAAACAACAAGGTGCTTGGTGACAGCCAACATGGCTTCACTAAGGGGAAATCCTGCCTGACCAGTTTGGTGGCCTTCTATGATGGGGCTACAGAACTGATGGACAGGGGTAGAGCAGCTGATGTCATCTACCTGGACTTGTGTACAGCGTTCAACACTGTCCCACACGACATCCTTGTCTCTGAATTGAAGAGACATCAATTTGATGAACGGACCACTCAGTGGGTGAAGAATTGGCTAGATTGCCGCACACAAAGAGTTGTGGTCAATGGCTCAGTGTCCAGCTGGAGACCAGTAATGAGTGGTGTCCCTAGGGGATCGGTGTTGGGACCGGTCTTGTTTAACATCTTCATCACTGACATGGACAGTGGGATTGAGTGTGCCCTCAGCAAGTTTGCCGATGACACCAAGCTGTGTGGTTCGGTTGATACGCTGGAGGAAAGGAATGCCATGCAGGGGGACCTTGACACACTTGTGAGGTGGGCTGATGCCAACCTCATGAAGTTTAACCATGCCAAGTGCAAGGTCCTACACCTGGGTGGGAGCAATCCCAGGTACAGCTACAGGCTGGGCAGAGAAGAGATTCAGAGCAGCCCTGGGGAGAAGGACTTGGGGGTGCTGGTCGATGAGAAAATGAGCATGAGCCAGCTTCAGTGTGCGCTTGCAGCCCAGAAAGCCAAACGTATCCTGGGCTGCATCAAAAGGAGTGTGACTAGCAGGTCGAAGGAAGTGATCCTGCCCCTTTACTCTGCTCTTGTGAGACCTCACTTGGAGTATTGTGTGCAGTTCTGGTGTCCTCAACATAAAAAGGACATGGAACTGTTGGAACAAGTCCAGAGGAGGGCCACGAGAATGATCAGGGGACTGGAGCACCTCCCATATGAAGATAGGCTGAGAAAGTTGGGGCTGTTCATCCTGGAGAAGAGAAGGCTGCGTGGAGACCTCATAGCAGCCTTCCAGTATCTGAAGGGGGCCTATAGGGATGCTGGGGAAGGACTCTTCATTAGGGACTGTAGTGACAGGACAAGGGGTAACAGGTTAAAACTTAAACAGGGGAAGTTTAGATTGGATATAAGGAGGAAATTCTTTCCTGTAAGGGTGGTGAGGCACTGGAATGGGTTGCCCAGGGAGGTTGTGAGTTCTCCTTCTCTGACAGTGTTCAAGATCAGGTTGGACGAAGCCTTGGGTGACATGGTTTAGTGTGAGGTCCCCCTGCCCATTGCAGGGGGGTTGGAGCTTGATGATCTTAAGGTTCTTTCCAACCCTAACTATTCTATCATTCTGTGTTTCTATTAGCTCTTCTCCTGTTGCACCAGTACAAGTTAAATGACTCAATTCAAATTAAAAATAGAGTTAAACATAATGTAAACATTCCTTAAATACTGGTATTCCTGGAGAATATTAGATCTATACCAGTAAAACAGACTGAAACAAACTGCGAATATGTCATCTATAATGTTCTTCAAGAATCTCTACAGCAGTAATCTTGTGATTTTGCTCACTGCCCCTCTTTGGGGAAGGGAGAGATGTGTTCTGAGAGACAGTATGCTGTTTTTATCTTGGCCACAGCTCACCTTTTGTCTCTAGCTTCTGGAATTACAAGTAATATTTAATTAGTTGCAGCAGCTCCATGTGAAATAGTTGTTGCTGAACAATTCAGAAGAACTCTCAAAATTCAGTAGAATAGTTGCTGCTGTCTGATACAAAATTGGGAGTAATAAGGTGTGCTTTTCTTTTTTGACAAACAATAGTTAACAGCTTCCCACTTTATGAATTATGACCTCTGCTTTATGCAGGATTAAGTGAGAGTACCTTTTCTTATTCTCTGGGAGGCTAAGTGTAGATCGCTGTTGCAGGTTAAGCCCAGCCAGTAACTCAGCACCACGCAGCCACTCATTAACTCCCCTTTTTATGCCCCCAGTTCCAGAAAGGATCAGAGGAGAATCAAAAGAATGTAAACCTCACATGCTGAGATAAGAGCAGTCCAGTAACTAAAGTATAATATAAAACTAATAATGATAACAATAGGGGAAGTAACAAGGGAGAGAATATAAAGCTAAAAAGGGAAGGAAAAAGCCAATAAACACAAGTGATGCACAGTACAGTTGCTCACTACCCACTGACTGATGCCTAGCCCGACCGGAGAAGTGATCGATCCCTTCCAGGTGACCCCCTAGTTTCTGTACTGGGCGTGATGTGCTGTGATATGGAATAGCCTTTTGGCTAATTTGGGTCAGGTGTCCCATCTCTGCTACCTCCTAGCTTCTTGTGCCTCTTCTCACTTGCAGAGCACAAGAGACTGAAAAGTCCTTGATTGGAGTTAGCATTACTTAGCAACAACTAAGACATTGGTGTTTAAGCAGCATTGTTCTCAGACTAAAGCCAAAACACAGCATTGCACCATCTACTAAGAAGGGGCAAAATAAATTTACGGCTAAACCCAGGACATTCATGAGTAAAGAAATCACATGCAGTTACAGTATCTGGAAGTCTTAGACACTAAAAATGAGTGAGGCTTCAGACAGCTATGGTACTTTCTAGTATCTCTTACTGGTAGCAAAGAGCCTCATTACTGTGCAGCTACTGGATTTCTAACCACAGATGTGACAGGGCCATTGTATAGAACATAAGCTAGTAATGTAGAAATTGTTGATTTCAATAAAAAAACAGGTCAACCAAGCCACACACATAAAGGTACTGCTTTGCTTACTATTGAAGTCACAGGGCATGAGAAGTTGCTTCATTCAGTATTGTAAACTGTATAGCTAAACCAGTTTCTTCTTCACACACTTTGCTATAATACCAGAGAAACTGTACCTCAAAAGAGGAGACCCGCAAACATAATTAAGTTGTAGTATATAACAAAACCTGTAGTGTGAAAGTTAATCATGTAACCGAACACCTGTGACCGTTTTTTTCATCTCACCTCAAAAATAAGGTCTCCTACATGGTCTTCTGCCCCTCCCAACATTGCAGTGGAGAGAGAGTTAAGATGCCTTTGACATGGATAAGTACTTGTAGTTAGATAACTGTCTGAATAGATTTTATGAGAAAAACTGCTTTGTAGGTTTTCTTCAGAGCTGACAAGATAGCAGAAAATATTGCTGTTTAAGGCAAATATACTGCAGTTGTTTGAAACAGAAAAGTAGGGTTAACTACATTTTGTAACTTTTTCTGTATGGTAAGGTTTCATTTTCTGATTTATCCTTTTGTCTTACAGTTTCCCTCCCAGTCCCCTCCACATTTTGGAACTCAAAGCTGTTTCAAACTTAACATGAATAGTACCTGATGAGCATTAGTTTAAAAAGTTACATTAAAAGCATTACTCGTAAAACCTATAGTCTTATGACCTATAGATTGAGACTAGCCTAATTTATTGCATGTCTGTGTTTTACCTGTAAATCTGTAGATCTTAAACCTTGTCTTATTTGCTAAAATAGAGATTCTGTAATAGACTAAACTTGTTCAAGTAACTAACACTTATAGCATGGGAGGGTTTTTTTTCCCCCTCAATTTATGTAGCAATTGGATTAACAACTGCATATTTCAGCAGCTAACAAGTTACATTGGCTCAAGCTGTAGCCCTTTGTCAATTAAAGGCAGTTCTTAATAAGTTGAGTTGCATAAATCTGCAATTGAGCTAATATATGTAGATTGAAGTTCAGGTCCTTTTCTAAATGAAAGGCACAAATTCTGGAAGGATGGTAACTGTAGAGTAGGTTCTTCAGTAAAGGTCAACACAAAGCTTCATTTTGTCTTTTAATAAATGCAGAGAACTGCTGTCCAGGGTTCAGCAGTAGCAGTCATTTTTTCTCCTTAGTAACTGGTGCAGTGCTGTGCTTTTGACTTTTGGCCTGGGAACAGCTCTGATAACACCAATGTTTTTAGTTACTGCTTAAATGTTTGGCCTGACCAAGGACTTTCTGAGTCTTACGCTCTGCCAGGGAGGAGGGGAAGCTGGGAGGAAGCAGAGACAGGACACCTGACCCAGACTAGCCAAAGAGGTATTCCATACCACAGCACGTCACGTCCAGGATGTAACTGAGAGTTACCCGGAAGGGCTGGCTCACTGCTTGGTTGGGCTGGGTGTCGATGGGTGGTATTGTATTCTCTTCCCTCGTTATTTCCCTTATCATTATTATTATCGGTGGTAGCGTTAGTGGTTGTACCTTAGTGGGCTGCTGTTATCTCAACCCGTGGGAGTTACATTCTTTCAATTCTCCCTGGGAGCGGGGTGGGTGGGGAAGAAAGGGAGGGAGTGAGCGAGAGGGCTGCGTGGCTGACTTATGGCGTGGGCTTAGACCACGACAACCGCTCAAACTCAGGGTTGTGATAAAGAAGTTTTAAAGGCTTAGCTGCTATTTTGTTCACCTATGTGTTTGGCCAGTACAAATCTACACTGATTCTTAGGTGGTCTGTTGCTAAAGTGTTAGTTATCTTCCCCTTCTACTCTAGGTGCTTTGTTCCTGTCTTGTTAGATAGGTATTAGAAGAAATTTAGAATTGAGTGTACTATCAGCAAGTTTGCTGATGACACTAAGCTGGGAGGGGTGGCCGACACGCCAGAAGGCTGTGCTGCCATCCAGAGGGACCTGGACAGGCTGGAGAGCTGGGTGGGGAATAACTTGATGAAATATAACAAGGGAAAGTGTAGAGTCCTGCATCTGGGCAGGAACAACCGCAGGTTCCAGTATAGGTTGGGGAACGACCTGTTAGAGAGCAGTGTAGGGGAGAGGGACCTGGGGGTCCTGGTGGACGACAGGGTGACCATGAGCCGACACTGTGCCCTTGTGGCCAAGAAGGCCAATGGCATCCTGGGTTGTATTAGAAGGGGGGTGGTTAGTAGGTCGACAGAGGTCCTCCTTCCCCTCTACTCTGCCCTGGTGAGACCTCATCTGGAATATTGTGTCCAGTTCTGGGCCCCTCAGTTTAAAAAGGACAGGGACCTGCTGGAGAGAGTCCAGCGCAGGGCAACTAAGATGATTAAGGGAGTGGAGCATCTCCCTTATGAGGAAAGACTGAGGGAGCTGGGTCTCTATAGTTTGGAGAAGAGGAGATTAAGGGGTGACCTTATTAGTGTATATAAATATATAAAGGGGGAGTGTCACGAGGATGGAGCCAGGCTCTTCTCAGTGGCAAACAATGAAAGGACAAGGGGTAATGGGTACAAATTGGAGCACAAGAGGTTCCACTTAAACCTGAGAAGAAACTTCTTCTCAGTGAGGGTGACGGAACACTGGAACAGGCTGCCCAGGGAGGTTGTGGAATCTCCTTCTTTGGAGACATTCAAAACCCGCCTGGACACGTTCCTGTGTAACCTTATCTAGGTGTTCCTGCTCCGGCAGGGGGATTGGACTAGATGATCTTTTGAGGTCCCTTCCAATCTCTAACATACTGTGATACTGTGATACTGTGAAAAATGGTTCTTCATAGAATTATGTTAACATATTTATATGTTCAGATCTTGAAACTTCATTTCATATTTTGAACTTAAGTTGAGCAACTTGTATAGTTAGTAGCTTGTTTTCATTTGCGTTCTTTTTTTATATTTGGTACATCCAGTTATTCTTATTTAATAAAATGGGCAACTGCTTAAGACTGGATGGCTTAAACACTTCAACTCACTTAGGTATTTTTATTATTTCTTATCAGGAGCTGATTGACATAAAGATGCTGCAGTGTAAGAGGGTTATAAATGGCAAGTATAGCATTTCTTTTGTTAATATCTGTAAACATTATTTTGGCTAGATAAAAGGTAATTCTTTTTCTCTAGTAATTTTATAGTGATTACGGTGAGGTATCAGTATATATAATCTCTCTGAAGTGTGACTAGGGATTTAAAAGAAGTTTTTGAAGCACTAGGTTACGCCTGTCTTCTGCTCTCCAGTTTCAAACTTTCCCTTCTTTAGGAATTTTAATAGTTCAGTTAGTGCCCTTCAGAAAAAGCATAAACTCTTTTTTGAGAATAGGGCTAACATTAGTAAGTGACTTTTTTTTTGCTGCCCTAACACAGGGCACCAAACATTGACTTAGTTTATTGCAAGGATTTGATGAGTGTTCTGTTAAAAAACTGAGTCACAGAGTGTGCAGGTGTAGGTCTTCTAAAGTTAAAGACTTTATAGGCCTTCTAAAGTTAAATTTTAGCTAGTGGAATTACATCTTCCTTTTTTTTTTTTGTTATTAATAAAAAGGGGATTGGTGTTGGAAATCCATAATTAATGTTTCAGCATTATGCTTCCTGGCAGCAGGTGAAAGAAACTAGAAACTAGCTGAAATAGACAGGATAGTAAAGTTCCAGTGCATTGCTTAAAATGTCAAAACTTTAATTTTATGTGGGTTAAGAAGACAAATAATAAAACTGTAATTAATACAGTTAACCCGTCTCAATTCTGTATCTACATACTGACTTCAGCCTCTCTATTGCTTTCATGTTTTACTATACTAAACAGTAAAAACTTGTTTTTTGGTTGGTTTGTAGGGATTTTATGTGTTTGGGGGTTTTTATTTGTTTGTTTGCTTTTTGTTTAATTTATGGGTTTGTTGGTTTGGGGTTTTTTTTCACCCGAGAAATTTTACTTGTATATGTGCTAATATAAAATCTGAGCAAAACCAATATTAGTTAAAAGGCTTTTAGTTTATTGAGAAAAGTTTGATAGTGTCCAAGAAAAAATCATTTGGACTGCGGTAGAGACAGTTTTCAATCACAAGTCTTTATAAATGTTAGCTATTTACGACGTTATAATATACACAGCTTTTAGTCTACTGCAGTAAGGAAGCAAGATAGACAAGATCTTACAATTTGTCATTCTTTTATTAACTTGAGGTCCATGGGCTAGATTTGACCTAATATGATTTTCACAGAGAAGTTCTTAAAAAGGTATCTTTGGGACCTCCCCAGCTGAGCAGCGTCAGGAACAGTTGCTTGTAGTGTCCCTGTAGGGGAACAGAAATCCACTACAGATCTTTTTTTTTCCTACTGCCCCTTCCCAAAATGGTAATGTTACGTTCATTCTGGCTGATTCATCCTTAGACTTGTGCTGGGTCTGATGCTTTTCCAAGAAACAGGCTAGGGATGATTAGGGAGTGCTAAGGGAGGGGAACAGTAATGTGCAAAAAATATACTGCAAGGATATGGAGGAGGTAGGATGCCATTAGTTCTGCTGTTCGCAAAAGACTTACTTGATAGCAAAATTACATAGTCATCTAACTTCCTTTATGGTGACATTTGTGTATGATTTTTGTCTTCCCACTTCATATAGAAGTACTTGAAACAGTGGACTTCGTTGCACCTAATGAAAGAGTTGTTTTCAGAACCTGTGAAAGGGAGAGGCACTGTGTTGTCTTTCAGATGGTAAGAAACCAACCGCAGGTACTCTGCTAGTAACAACATAGTTAAGGCAGTGCTAGTAACATTAATAGAAGTCTAAAGCAGCTGTCTATTGTAGACTTATCAAATTTTTTGATGCTTCAGGTGGAGGTAAAGTTTCACACCAGACCTGTTGCAGAATTTCTGTTCTTTGATCAAGATGCTGCATTATAAGCTCCCTGTACAGCTGTTTTCAGAAGAGATGATTAATTCTGTTCTCTGTGGCAGCAGCCTGGTTTTGTAATCAGTATCTTTGATACATTTCTAAATGTACCAGATATAAATTATGCTGCTGTTTGATCACGTGTTTAAGTTTTAACACTGTTCAGTAAAAAGTCCCACTGGAAGGACTGAAAGAAATGGCATTGGTTAGTGTAGATAAGAGAGCATTAATGTCTGCATATAACATTACACAAATGGATTAAAATCTGCTAGAGAGAAAAAGGTAGTAATTTACTTTTTGAGACCTCTTTATGTAGGACAAGAGGTGATTGGGGTTGGTGGAAGGGAAGGACTAAACTGCATTAGATACTGAAAAAGACCTTTTTCAGTGGCGGTAACAGCCCTGGAATAGGTAGAGGCTGTAGAGCTATTAATAATGGAGCTTCTTAAGAACATGATAAATAAATATCTAATTTGATGGGCTTAGAACATTTGATACTGCTGTAGGTTAATATGCGTATCTGCAAGTGAGTGCATTTATTTTATTAATTTGATGTATTTTATAATTATAAATCCTCTTGTTCTACCAACAGGGTTCAGCAGATGCTGAAAGAGCCCTAGCAGTAGCTAAACTTGTGTAAGTCATCTTCTCTCACTCCTTCCTACCATGGGTTGGTTTGTTGTTTGTTTGATTTGGTCTTTTTTACAGAGGAATTTTTTTGGAAGATACTTTTTTATGAGAGTACCAAGGTAGGTCTTGATAGGACCAAGAAAAGTTCTAGAGGGGCTGCACATTGGAGTGCAGCATCTCAAAAGGCCAGTGATATAACTACAACTTCTATTTAAAATACTTGCTCAAAGCAGAAGCTTCCTAAGTTCTTTACTGGGATTGATGGTTTTATGTTGGTGCAGTGTGTCCTTGATGTCTCCAATATAAATTTTTCCTGGGTATTGCAGAGCTGCAAATAAGACAGATATGCCTGAAAATGTCTCCTACTGCTTGTGGTTTGAAGCCCAGGATTGTACAGAAATAAACATGTGTCTCAAAACTTTTTAAAAGATGGTTTTAAGCCTCCATTTAAAGTAGATGGGCATTTCAATAGGACTTGTTTTAGTGATGGTGGTGAATTTAGTGGTGGATATACTTGCACATACTTAATCCTGTATAAACATATTTAAGATGTGTTTATGCAGTTTCTGCACAACACTGGTCACTGAAACCTGTGGACTAACTGATCTTTAGGCCACAGTTAAAATAAGTATGTAACTTCTTACATAAGTGAGAAGCTAAAAATTCAGAAGTCCAAATAAAAACCTTAAATTCTCATTTAAGCCTTAATGATGAAACAAGTTTCCTGGGAAGATGCCTATTTCCTGATTCATGTTCTAATATGATAAGAAATATTTTAATTTTTTTCTTTCTTTCAGAGAGAATGATGTAGCTGGTATTGATATCAACATGGGATGCCCAAAGGAATATTCTACTAAGGTTACTTTTAAATAAGCTTTTTCGTTCTTGGGGATGCAGAATACATGGGGTTTTTTTTTGTTTTTTTTTAGTTGAACAAATTTAAGCAGTAAAGTTTTCATGTAGATGAACTTGAGTTCATTTTTTGCAATGAACAAAAGATTCTTGAACTTGTCATGGCTGTAAGACAGTAAAGTAATACTCTATTAGTAATCTCTCTTGAGAATAGGTTTGGTCATATAATTAAACAGACAATATCCTTAAGTGGGTGAGCATGTATGTAGTTTGTAAGCTCAGGTTATTGTGGAGCAAGTGGTAGTTGTATTTGCTGCCAAAATGACTGCTGAATATTGAAAAAAAACATAATGAGGTTGCTAAATTGTATTATTGTACAAAGTTTAGAATTCTGAAAACTCTGTCAGGCTGCATAAGGTGAAATAAAATAAAGGGTTTGTTAGGGTTTTTTTAATGCCTTCCTGAGGTCACTAATCTGTTGAATGAGTGAAATATGTTTTGCTCTAGCCTTAATAGGAGTCATAGTTTGTCATACGAGCAAGCAAACATTGGCAGTTTATCAAACCTGACTTCAATTATTGGTCAGTTTTAAGTGTGAGGAAGATAGATCAGTTAAAACGTGGGGTTTTTTTTTGAGTTAAACACATGCAGTTCTAAATTAGTCTTTTGTCGTCTGTGACTAAACAGAATAGTCAAGCTGTTTGTTAAGCCAGTTAGTGTATAGGTAAAGGATCAATGAATTAGACCATGGATCTCCATTTTTATGTCAGATGTTCCTGCAGAATAGATAAGTATTGCACTTATCATTTCACTGCTTCTTAGTTTTGTAGGTTGGCTTTCACTCTGAAGAACAATTGCTTAAATTTTAGTAGATTCCATCTAACTTGTGAATAATTTTACCCACATACATTTCTAGGATTTTTGTGGTTTTAATTCTATTAACTTCTTTGTTTTGATGGTAACTATGAAAATGACAAGGTTAAGTGAGGTATGGTAAAAATTAAAATTTGAATTTAAAAGAATGTGAAATACTTATTTTCCCTGTTCTGGTATCTTTATGTATTTAGATTCTGTTGTTTCCGAACTTCCTCTTTTATTCTACAGATAGCTTTTGAGATAGTGGTATTATCAAGGAATCATAGTCATGCTGAGGATGCATCGTTAAATTTATAATGGTCTCATGGTACTTCTGTTAAATGTTTTCTTTAGTCTTTATTACTTTCTGTTTTCTACCAAATTACATGGAAGACTATTTTATCCTTCCACAGAATCGTATTTAAGAACGAAACACCAAAACATCCTTCCTGTGCTAGGATGAAAGATCGAAAATGTAAATGCTGGTGGTTAATCTCCAACAGAAGTTTTGGGTCAAAAAAATGCATACAATTTTGAACGTATGTTTGCCTGTTGGCCTCCAGGTCTACGTATGCAAATGAAATAGGTAGAAAGAACAGCTAAAATACTAAGTTGTTAAAGTGTTCATAATTTGTGTTCAATACAGCCACTTAATTTGTCTTAGCCTGTTTTTCTAACTGTAGTGTGTAGACAGAAACTATGGACATCAAGACCTCTCAAATGTTGTGTAATGTTAAAACAATAACTCTGTTCAGCTGTCACTTAATGAGTAGAAATTTTATGATTACAAATGCTAAAAATGGCTTTTTGAAATCCTGTCTGCTCCATAAAGTAATGCGAGCAATCTGGTGTCCTGAATTACTGCATAATTATTCTGATACAGTTCTAGGCAATGTTTCATGAAAGCATTCACTAATACTCCTGCATTTTAGGTTTTGTCATCTTCCCCACCCCCTTTTTGTTTTCCTCAGTATGACACAGTACTTTTGCTACGGTCTGCTATTAGGCAAAATAATTGAGTTGAAAAATGTGCTTGCCTAATCTGTAACAATTTCTGTACTTTTTCGCAGGGAGGTATGGGAGCAGCACTGCTATCTGATCCTGACAGAATAGAGTCTGTAAGTATCACCTTGTGGATTTTAAACTGCTTTGAAAAGTATTATATGCTGTGGTGCTCTACTGGAAGGGGAATGAACATATACAAGACAAATTTGTAAAAGCTAGAATGGAATAATCAGTTTCAAATACTGAAATTAAGGTCACGGATAAATAATCCTGAGCTAGTTCTCCTTGTCATTGTCTGGACTATAAAATTGCTACCTTCCTCCTTTTCATAGAATCATAGAATAGTTAGGGTTGGAAAGGACCTTAAAATCATCAAGTTCCAACCCCACTGCCATGGGCAGGGACACCTTGCTCTAAACCATGTCACCCAAGGCCTCGTCCAACCTGGCCTTGAACACTGCCAGGGATGAAGCATTCACAAACCTCCCTGGGCAACCTATTCCAGTGCCTCACCACCCTAACAGGAAAGAATTTCTTCCTTATATCCAATTTAAACTTCCCCTGTTCAAGTTTTAACCCATTACCCCTTGTCCTATCACCGCAGTCCCTAATGAAGAGTCCCTCCCCAGGATCCCTATAGGCCCCTTTCAGATACTGGAAGGCTGCTATGAGGTCTCCACGCAGCCTTCTCTTCTCCAGGATGAACAGCCCCAACTTTCTAAGCCTATCTTCATATGGGAGGTGCTCCAGTCCCCTGATCATTCTCGTGGCCCTCCTCTGGACTTGTTCCAACAGATCCATGTCCTTTTTATGTTGAGGACACCAGAACTGCACACAATACACCAAGTGAGGTCTCACAAGAGCAGAGTAAAGGGGCAGGATCACTTCCTTCGACCTGCTAGTCACACTCCTTTTGATGCAGCCCAGGATACAGTTGGCTTTCTGGGCTGCAAGCACACACTGAAGCCGGCTCATGTTCATTTTCTCATCGACCAGCACCCCCAAGTCCTTCTCCACAGGGCTGCTCTGAATCTCTTCTCTGCCCAGCCTGTAGCTGTACCTGGGATTGCTCCCACCCAGGTGTAGGACCTTGCACTTGGCATGGTTAAACTTCATGAGGTTGGCATCAGCCCACCTCACAAGCGTGTCAAGGTCCCCCTGCATGGCATTCCTTTCCTCCAGCGTATCAACCGAACCACACAGCTTGGTGTCATCGCCAGACTTGCTGAGGGCGCACTCAATCCCACTGTCCATGTCAGTGACGAAGATGTTAAACAAGACCGGCCCCAACACCAATCCCTGAGGGGAACCACTCGTTACTGGTCTCCAGCTGGACATTGAGCCATTGACCACAACTCTTTGTGTGCGGCCATCCAGCCAGTTCTTTATGCACCGAGTGGTCCATCCATCAAACTGATGTCTCTCCAATTTAGAGACAAGGACGTCGTGTGGGACAGTGTTGAACGCTTTGCCCAAGTCCTGGTAGATGACATCAACTGCTCTACCGCTGTCCATCAGTTCTGTAGCCCCATCATGAAACTTTCACATGTGCTGCTATATTTGCAGAGGGAGGAGTTTTATGTGCATATGCATTTAGTTCTGTATAAAATGCCATGTGTATCAGTATGAAAAAGGTTCATAAGTATGTATATATGTGTATATATAATCACTTGTATATCATAGAATAGTTAGGTTTGGAAAGGACCTGAAGATCATCTAGTTCCAACCCCCCTGCCATGGAAGGGACACCTCACACTAAACCATGTCACCTGAGGCTCTGTCCAACCTGGCCTTGAACACCACCAGGGATAGAACATTCACAACTTCCCTGGGCAATCCATTCCAGTGCCTCACCACCCTTACAGGAAAGAATTTTTTCCTTTTATCCAATCTAAACTTCCCCTGTTTAAGTTTTAACCCAATACACCTTGTCCTGTCACTACAGTACTTAATGAAGGGTCCATCCGCAGCATCCCTGTAGCCCCTCTTCAGATACTGGAATGCTGCTATGAGGTCTCCTGTAGAAATACATATGAAAAAAAAAAAATATATATGTATATATGTATGCATCTGTGTACATGTAATATATAATATGGGTTTTTTTAATTTTTGTTTTTTGCAAAGGACTTCTAAGCTTCCTGAGATTAAATGGAGTCCAGACAATGCTCTGGGTTTCCAGGAACATTCTTAGTATTTAGTTATTTCATTTTCTTTTTGTGTAAAAACTAGATTCTTCATAATTCAGATGAATTGACTGTGAACTTTGTCTTGTTTTCCCATAGCTTTTAGTTGTTCACTCTATCTTCCTTCAGACTTCCTGGGGGCAATTCTAGTTCACAGTTCACTTCTCAGTAATAACTGAATCGTGGTACACAGTAGCTAATATTTACATTCTTCATTTCTTGTACTATCAGAAGTACGCAGATCTAGACAAAATAAAAATACCAAAATCATTTATCTGCCTTTTCCTATGGTACTCCTGAGTGTGTTTTGGTTTAAGGGTTCTTTGGCGTAGCTCAGTCTTTTGAAGAGACTGGACTTTCTTAACTCATTTGCATGACTCTTCTGAACCACGGCCAGTCTCTTTCTGATCCCTGCAGTTTCTGCCTTTTCCTTCTGTCTAAAATGTATGCTGAGTCAGTCCTTTTTATTATGGTAACATCATTCAGCTTTGTAGGGTAGTAGGACTTACACAGTTTCCACAAGCTCATCCATTGGTTAGATACTATTCTTTGTAAGCTCAGATGTGAAAACAGGTTGTTTTGCAGCATTTATTTCATTCTCTGAGGACCTGCATTAGAAGGGCACGTTATAACCATGACAGAGTGTTAGCCTTTTGCCAAATCTAAGAATCTCTTGGTGTGAAGAGCCACATTGTTAGCGAAGCTGTACAAACCGACCATTCATCAGCTGGAAGCATTACTGGTTGTGCCAAAGCAAGAATTTAAGTGCAACAGACTGTACTCTTACTCTGTTTCATTAGCTGGTAGGAAAAGCAAAAGTGCAAGTGTTCTAATCGTGATCTCAAAGTATTTTTGGAAATTGTATCAGTCTCAATTTTCCAAAAGAGAGCACAGAATCCAATTAAGTGGTGTTGTCTGCAGGAAGTCAGCTAGCAATGCAGAGCTGGAGCCAGAACCAAATTTTTTAAGGCCTACATGGTGTTCACTTACATAGTGAATTAGGTAAGGTGGGTAATACCATCCAGAATTAAATTGTAATTTATAAAGTATGAGGTGATGAAGGCTGGAATAAAAAAAATTAGTGGGAACTGAGAGGAAAACAACAGGCTAGAAGTAAATATAGCAAAAATTTCTCATAGGAATGAGAGGCAGTTGTAAATATGATTGCTAGCAGCTTCCTCCCCTCTACAACCATTACATTTCATTTCTGTCATCAGAAGAGCAGGAAACCTGGTGTTCAAAAATTTGGAATTGTTCTTTTAAATTTAAGATGTTAATAGGGAGTAAAATCTTATGCATAAAGATTATTCTTAACTAGCTGCAAAGGGGTAACTAAACTCATAGTCTGCAAAAGACAGCTGTAATTACAGTTCCAAATCAAGCTTTCTGTATGATTAAAAAGTGTAGGGTGTGGTTCTCACACTGGAATCTGTAATGAGGCTGCCCGGAAGCTTGTAAGATCTGCTGATGAAGTTATTGCAGGAAAAATGCTATAGTGATGATGTTTGGAAAATTACGTCATTTCAGTTTCATTTCTATGCAAATATAGTACATATTAAAAATACTGAAGAGGAGTTTTAGGTTATTTTTTTTGGACCTTACTGTTTTATTTGGGAGAATCCTACTTAGGAAAGATTTCAGTAGCCAGTGCAAGGTGACACTTGCCAGCTGCTAAGGGCTTGTGAGTGCTAGCTATAACAGCTCTTTTTTGTATTTAGAACCTAATAGTGCAGGAACTAAAATTCAAGTTTCACAGTATACAAAACTTTGAAGGAAATAATTTACTTGCCATACCATCCATTTTATAAAAGAGAAGTGTGCTCAGACTAGCATGTGTGATAATATCTCAAAAAACAGTTGAAAACCAAATATTTTTCTGCTAACAATCAGGATCAACTGATTTCCACTGTTTTATTTAGACAGCTATTCAATTTCTGGTACCACTTATTGTATAGTTATGCAGTGATTTAAACATATGTAGGACATTACATGGCCCTTTCAAGTATCATCTGTTGGTCTTAAATTCAGCCTGTGAAAAGGAGATTTTGTGTAGCCTAGTTCTTAAATGTTTAAACTAACAACTGTTCATTTATCTGCTATTCTAAGCTTGTTTTAATGAATAAAGTGTGTTTTGTGTTAAGCATGGAATTTGGTTTATAATTTTTGTTTTCTTTTAGAAGATTAAATGATGTTGTTTGAGATTTCCTTTTCATTTTTTCATTTTCAAGACTTTCATTTTTTAAAAAAGAATCTCTTTTTCTGGAATACTTATATTTACTTCTCATAAGAAGCTCACAGCTCAGAAACTCTGAAAACAGCTGCATGAAAATGAAAAACTTTTGCACTTTATTTTGAAATTATCAAAGTTTACTGGTTGCCTCATTCCAAAAGCAGTATTGAAACACCAGCAGCAGATAATAGCTCTATAAAAATCCAGTTAAAATTAAAAAAAATTGGAAATAAAAATTATTTGGACTAGAAATAGGTTTGTATATTAATCGGATAAAATTATATACTTAATTGACTTCATGTATCTGTCTAGCATGTAAGATTCTTTATAGAGGAGCACTAACTAGTGTTACATTGTTCTAATTTATTTGTATCTTTAGGGAGAGAAAGGAGGAGAGCTTTATTAACATCATTGTTATGATCATGTTTTTCTTTCTTTTCCTTTTTCCAGATACTGACTACCCTTGTTAAAGGAATTTGTAAACCAGTAACCTGCAAAATCCGCATTTTGCCCTCAGTAAGAACAAATTGTTATGCTAAAGTGTTTAGCTGTTGCTTATTTCTGTGATTTAAAAATGAATTAAGATGTACAGTATTCTAATATTATGGCATTTTAGACCTGCTATTGTAAAATAGCACTTGGAATTATAATTTCTGTTTGGGATGCTGTCATGACCTGAAAAGTTATCTTGTCTTTTGGGCGTATAGATACCATGATGGTGGGTTTCTTGTATTCCATGATACATAAGGACTCAGAAACTTTTAGCCTCTAAATTCCTCAACTTCATTAGATTACAACAAATAGCACAAAAACCACCACAGTAAATATGCTAAATAAAGCAAGATACAAGTATATCTATCTCAAGCTATTACACATTATTAGCAGCAATAAACAATAATATGACAGCCATGATTAATATGGCAGCAGTCAGTTACAGCAACAATCAGTAACAGAAACAAGCAAGTATGTATATACTATTATAGGTTAGTACGAACTTACCAGTAGTGAAGCAACTTTATCAATAATACAACAGCAGATCTGATAGAATTCTTCATGCGTATATATATATATGTATGTTCACGGTATAAGACTGCTATGAGGTGCATTAGACAGATCTCAGAAGGAAACCAAACCATCCCAGACAGAAGGACAAAATGATCCTAGAAGGGAACCCAACCATCCCAGGAGTAGGAAGACAAACTGAACCAACTCCAAAAGTAGGCCTGGATGGGGACCAGTAAAATAACAGAGACTCACTCCAAAGATTATCTGTGTCATGGAGTTTGGAGTCAGCCAGGCATCCTTGGCACAAGTCAGAGATCTCATAGAAAATGTACATGTAGACTTGAACCTGTTTAAGAAAAGGAAAAGTATGTGCAGCATGGGAACTTGTCAGAGAGGCTCTATTTTGGGATAAAAATGAAATAATTTTCATGACCTAGAAACACAAGAGGGCATAGAACACCACCCCTTGAGCAGTTAGTAGATGCTGTTAATTCCTGTTTTTCACCTGGGGCAGCCAATAGATGACTGTTTTCTGTTCTTTCAGATAATTTTTTTTTTTCCAGACTTCCTGCTCTTGCAGTTTGAACAGCCAATGGCAATTACATATTGTTTCTTTCTCAGGATGTTTTTCCCTTTCTCTATACTATTCTTTACTTTTTCGGATGGTAAGTTGCTGATACGGTTCCTTAGGTTTACACTTACTGATGGTGTCTCAGGATGTGTCCAGTACCAGAGCTGCACTTACCAGGGATGCTTTGGGTTCACAGGCCTAGTTCCCAGGCTAATGGTTTTCTGGCTGGCAGGCATTTTCTCTTCCGGTATTTTTCAGAAGATATTTTCTTCTGTTTGGTAATTTTCCCCTTATAACCAGGTGCCATTTCTGGCTACTCGCATCAGACACCAAACTTTGTTTCTCCTCTCTAAAAAGTCAAGAAATACTGAACATTAGATATGTGCACATGTCTTTATTCCATTGAACTCCAAATGTGGATACTTCCATTAAAGAAGTATTTTAGTCGTGTTAAATGTAACCTATTGAGTTAATCACAAAGCTTTTGCTGGCGGATAAGAACTAAATGAAAATAAAAAGGAAAAATGCACTCATTTTAGAAGATGACTGACAAGTGGGGAATTGGCTGAGCATAATGTGTGCATAAGAAGAGTGCAATGAACTTTGAGTTTCTTCAATCTGCTTGAATTTTAAACTCCAAGAGAAGACAACTGTGGTATTACTTGTCCAAATTCCAACATTCAAATTAACAATGAAGATTTCAGTAATGAAATTGTATTTACAAAAGAAACTGCCTGTATTTTATAAACTACTCATATTCTACACTACAAGGAAATTTTGCATTTACATCCAGTGACACCTGAATTAAAAACAATTTCTGCAGCTTTTTCAGAAAATCTTTAATAGATTGAAGTACTGAAATTGCTAGCTTATACAAGGAGGTTCAAAATCTTCCTTCTCAGGAACAGCACCTTCATTGCAATTAGAATTATTTTTTTCTGGTGATTCTTGGGTACAGTCATTCATTTCAAAGAAATCATGGTAAGACTGTAAATTGCTAAAGCTGTTGCATATTGTTTTGTCAGTATTTTGCTAGAATTTAATTAAGAACATAGTGAAAATATAGTGGTGATTTTCTCTTTTTACAGCTGATGTAGCTTTCTTACTGATTTTTTTTTCTCCAGTTGAATTCCCTATATTTTTAAATCTCCAGGAGACAATGTGCCTTCTCTTTTAATGATTGGTTATTTTGTAATTCTGTATTTAATTACCTGCCTAGATACCATTATTGCATATGACTTGGATAAGTATTTCTGCAGATGGATGAACTGTAACTGAGCTATTGTCCAAAAGTCATTTACATGTGCACTTAGAATGATAAAATGACTAAATGAAGCCTGTGTCAAAAGAATCAGTAGCTGTCTAAGTTAGTCTTGATTCTGAAGGTACTAAATGAGTACTCCACTTTATGTTCTACAACTATCCTAGAGCCTTTTCCTTTTTGTTTCAGCCTTCTTTCACATAACGTCGTCCATCAGAACAGCAGGTGAACTGCTGTCATTCCATCCATGCCAGGTGGAAGATGTTGCATTTCTTAGTCTGAATGTGCTGGGTTTGTGATAAGCCACAGATCATTCTCCAGCTTTTGACAAGAAAATTTGCCTCTTTTATTTTCTCCCTTTCCACAAAGCTGCATAAGGCAGGCTAATCCAGCGTTGTGTCAAATTTCTTTTTGCCTTTTAACAGCATCTTAACTCTTTGAAGGTACGCTGTGAGCTTCTCCTTTTTCCCCTCTGTCTTTTGATTCACTGGTCATGTATGAATATCACTGGAAAGTTTTAGATACTAATTAACATTTTTAAGACACGTGTGAGAGGAGTATTTATGGATGTGTGATTACATGCTACATTGATTTCAGAAGGGATCCTCTTATTAAGATGCATTTTAATTATAATTTACAGAATACTCATTAGATAGGACTTTCTAATTACATGTTTTGGGTCATTTTCAAATGACAGTCTAAAAACCTGTTGGGACAATATTCTCTTCTTACAGAATACGGTGTTGTCTGGCTTGAGAAGGTTTGTGATCTGTAGTTTTAAGGAAGTATTGAAAATGGTTTGTTATTTTTGCCGTAATATTTAGTACTTTGCTTGAGGATATGAGATTATGCACTTTGGGGTCTACTGCTGAAATACGGGAATCATAGCCCTCTGGTAAAAGTCTTTCAACATTTGTTTCTACAGTGGTCAAATGATAGTTACTCCTTATTCTTTTAACTAAAATCATGTCATTCTCTTTTACCCCTCAGGTGGAGGATACTGTGAATCTGGTAAAGAGAATAGAAAAAACTGGTGTTGCAGCCATTGCAGTCCATGGAAGGTAAATCCATTTTAGGAGAGAGACTTTAATTTTTTTAGTTTGCTGATGAATGTAGCACTGTAAGATCTGACTAGAGTATACCCTGCATGTAATTATGTTTCTGATTTCAACTGTTAATGAAATCTGTATTGTAGAAAATCAGGCCTGTAATTAGGGAACTGAACTGCTTGTTGCTATTTTTCGTAAGATTTTTTCAAAGACCAAATCAAACTAAAATTACCTTTAATCCTCTGTATCTAAAAATGCTCCTTATGTGGCTATGGAATTACAATAACAATGTTTTAAAATGCATTTGACATAAAATAATTTTGTGTTAAAAAAAAATGTATATATATAGTAAAAAAGCAGAAATAAGTATGTCTCAATAATCCTTAGTCATGTCTGCTGTGATTCAGATATCTACAAATTCCACAGGAAATCTTTGGTCTTGTCTTTCTTTTGTTTGTTGGAAAGGAAGAAAGAGGAGAGGCCTCAGCACCCTGTCCACTGTGATGTGATCAAAGCCATTTCTGAAGCAATCTCCATTCCAGTAATAGCAAAGTAAGTTCAACTGATGAGCTCATTACTGCCAAATGCCTGTACCTAACTTAAGATTTGCAAATGCAGGAGAAAGTCTTTCACATAGGGCTAATCTAAGGCTACTTTTTACCAAGGATCAGATCTGGACGGAGATAGCAGTGACAAAAGTTGGCCTTATGAAATATCACCATACCTCAGTTTTCAGTTTAAAAATTTCATCTATTTTTCAAAAAATATTACTTTTGTGTGTCACAGTCTATCCTGGTTGCATCCAGCACTTAAATTCTCTGTGTTTTTTAAGCCCTGTGCAGCGACTAGTTATATATGAAATGATCTTATGGTCCTTTCCAACCCTAACTATTCTATGATTCTACGATTCTGTAACTCTATCACTGTATATCTTGGGCGCTTGCGTATCAGAGATGACCTGTCCCACTGCTCAAAACCAGTGTTACATGGTGTGGCCTTACATTTTCCCTAAGACCTCCTTAGTCGCCAGACATACAGGCATGATTCCACTGAATCTCTGCTTACATCAATAGATTCTTCAGTAACAATGTCACAGTAAAATAAGTAACTTAGTCTTAGAAAAGTTTAGCTATAAACAGGTGAGTTTTAAGAGATGTTTTTGCAAGCAGAGGTAATGAAAAGTATGAAGCTGTATCAGAATGTATCTGACCTACCTGACCAACATCTTCAGAAGTTTGACCTCTTTAAAAGTAGCAGTAGGATATCCTTGGCCAGAAAAGCAGCATCCTTAAGTGAAGTTCGGTCTTCACTGACCTTGAGTTTTCATTGAAAAGCTGCATCTCTGCAAACTATGTACTTGGATCAAGAATCTGAGAACTGTTTTCCTGTTACATTTCTCTGTGGAAAACACTTCAAAAGTTACAGGTTTTAGTATCAGAAGGCCTGTTTCTGTACTGGACAAAGGACATATTCCATGCTGATTATCTCTGTTTATGCACTTTTTGGTGGTTCACCCCCTTTCTAGTTTTCAGAATAATTTTTTAAACAATATGGAATTAAAAGAGTAAGAAAAATTCACATTGTACATTGCCATGAATCCTTTGCCTGGGTAGATGAGGCTAACAATTTTTTCTTATTAGACTTTATGCGTGTCACAGAAATGGCAGCTCTGTTTGAGTACATTCTGTGATTAAGTGTGCAAGTAAGATGAAAAAATACCAGAGGCTTGCTGTTGGTGAATTGCTTTTAATTAATCCTTATATCAGTTTACTTCTTTGGAAGTGCCCCAACATGCTGAACTAACCTTAACAATCCTATTTTTTTAATGATTTCTTTGAAAAGGATATGAACTTTTTTAAAATCTACTTAGTGAAACTTTATCCTTTCTAAAGAAATGTAAGTGTGCAACTTGGAATCTTCCTTATTAAATATACTTGATCCCTGCAGCAATTTATTTGCCTGGTGTTTTGAGAATTTCAACCATTTGTGCCTCAAGCTTGGTCAGGAAATACACAGGAATGAATAAAAGAAGTAGGTTGATCCTAGAAAAAGATAAGAAGCTTGAATTGATTCTGTGATTTCTAGAATATTACTGTGTTAACAGAATAATCTTTCATTAGTGTAGGAAATGTTGTTCTGTCTTCACAGCATAAATGTTTGGTTTTAAAGTAATTTATCATTATATAGCTTTTATTTTGAGTTTGACAGTGTTTCTGCTTTTGAAGGGATAAAGATTCTACTTCATAGTTCGAAAGTCCAACTTTTACATTTAAAAGATGTAGTGTCGGGAAACATTAAAAGAAAGAAGAAGTAGTTTAAGTATTCTTTTTGCTTTTTAAAACATCTGACTTGCTGACTTGAAAGCAAAGGCAGTACAGTAGAAGCAGTGTAACCTTCTCTTAACGTTAAAAGTGCTCCATAATTGATCCAGACATATTACTTGTAGTTACTCTCCATATATTAGTTCCAGAGTGAAACAGAATGATGCTGCCCATACTTGATCTTAGTATCTGACACAATTAATAGGAACTTGAAGGTTACAGAACTGGCAATAACAATGTATCATTATCATTTACAATATGGAAATGATTCTTTATGAGCCTTAAATATTAAAAGTGTGTGAAAACACAGTTTGTGTAAAATGCAAACTATTCTTTCCTCATAAAAAGTCTTCTACTTTCAAGAGAAGCATGCAGATAACGAAAAATACTATATAAAATTGGTGTTTTAGTGAGCTATTGCTAATAAAGCTGTCAGACACATTTGTTCTCTTAAATCTGAGATTATATCCTAAGTAGACTCTGCCACCATAAATAATGTAGTATCACATGGAAATACAAGGCTTTGTTAAAGTAGAAATAGTAGCAAATAAAACTTGATGAAAACTTAATAAAACATGATTATAACAATGATGTTAATTTTCAGTGGAGGATCTCACGACTTTATCAAAGAATATACGGATATTGAGACCTTCCAGAAAGCAACAGCTGCCTCATCAGTAATGATAGCTCGTGCTGCCATGTGGAACCCATCTATCTTCAGAAAAGAGGGTTTTGTTCCTTTGAAGGACGTAATGCAAAATTACATCAAATATGTATGTTTTTTTTGAAAATCTTACTTGTAGTTAGCATTGGTTAGATTTGTTAATCAAACTCTTACTATGCTATCTTAACTCCTCTTAACTCCAAAGCCTTAGGCTCTGGGTATATTTTAACATACTGCATATGACATGAGTCTTGCAAATCAACCGCTGCCTCCTCTGTTGTATTTTGTTCAGAAAAAAAAGTGTTCAGAAATCTGTATGCAGAAGACAGTCTTTCTGGATAATTCTTTTCTTATGTATCATGCTTTTTAGCCCTAGTTTCTTGGGAATGTTTATGATGCTATCATGGCTATCTAAAAATGTCTGGGAATGTAAAGCTAATGACATGTAGGAGAGCTCTCTTGTTGTTATAGTTGTGCAAATAATATCAAATAGAAAACTGAAGGAATATTAAGTACTGAATTGCTGCTAGATTAAATTTTAGAAAATAACTGCTTTTCACAAATACTGTGAAGAATTTTTAACATCGGGAAAGCAAAGGCAATGGTTTGCCAATAAAGTAATGCTATAGATGATCTTAAGGTCCTTTCCAACCCTAACTATTCTGTGATTTTATGATAGTAGTACAGTTCCATTCACTGAGTCATCTGTTATAGAAAGCTTTATTTCAAAATTTTAGTAAAAATATGAAATTAATCAGAAATCTGTGGCTTTGATCATGCCATCAATTCGAAATTTTGGGGGTTTTATAAATTTGAATTGCCATTAACTAGTTACCAAAATAGCACAACATTGCTAGTCACTATGTACACTGGTCAACTCTTTCTTCCTAAGTATATGAATAAGTTGAACTTTGGTTCATGAAAGCATGCCAGAATAATCAGATTATACTCACATTCAGGAGTAGTCTTGAGTATGTTGCTGGTTTCTCTTTCAAAAGCAATTTTGAAGGTTATCAAGAGACATGAGCATTATACAAGATAAATTCGTTTGGTATGTTTTTTATGTACATTGTCTCTCTCCTTCAGGCAGTGAGGTATGATAATCACTATACCAACACAAAGTACTGTTTGTGTCAGATGTTAAGGGAACAGCTGGAAACTACTCAGGGTAAGAAGCTGCATGCTGCGCAGTCCACACAGGAGATCTGGTAAGCAAGTACTTCAGAAACAGGAAGCAGGAGTTGTACTGTCTGTCAGACTTGCACTTCTCTTTCTCTAGTATTGCTTGGTATCTCACACTTTCAGAAGAAGTTGCAAAAAACAAAATAAACCAAACAAAAAGAAAGTTCGGTTAGTGAGATGTGCAATAAACTTTCCAGGTTAAAATACAATAAACTTTGCTAGGTTTTTTTCCATGCTCAGGTTTTAAAGCTTTAAGCCTTATTTTATGTACTCAATGTACCAATTTAAGTGGTGCTTCACTGAGTGGATATTTCTACAATATTTGCATTAACTGATTAAGAAAAGTTTCAGCATTCTCTAGTGTTAATCTGGAGCTTCAATAGCATGGAGCTTGTCTTCTTCTAGGGATATTTATTTAAGTTCTCCTTTTCCATGTTGTTTTTTTAATGTTACTGGAATGTGTATGACAAGGTGTTCTTTTAAAATGAACATTTAGAGATAAACTAAAACCAGTATATATAGGTCACCTGTATGTCACTTAGATGTGTTTCTTTTGTGCTGCTTTTCACACGTGAAATATCCTAATGAATAATGGCAGCCTTTTGGAGGAAATACAGTAGCTTTAGTGAATCTTTTCATCCTGGACATATGAAACAGTCTGGATGAAATTTCTCAGAGGGAAAGAAAAAAAGAAAGAAGGAAAAGTCTTAGAGAAACCATAAAATAAACATGTGATTAAAGAATTGACACAGAATGGAGGGGCATTCAGGTTTTGGCCCATTCCAAACTGAACAAAATAAAGGTCTGAGATTGCATGTGTCATACCCTGTTGTGTGCTATAATTATCCTTCTGATAGAATGGAAGGGAAGAGAGTCTCCCTTATTTTTTATTTTTTTTTTAATAAAATAAACAGTTTGAAACTGTTTGTTGTCTTACATGTATGAAAATGGATAGAAATGTTGAAAGCTTGAAATATTTTGCAAGTGGAGTTCTTGTTTTCTAGCAAACCCTAATAAGCATTTTGTCTTTGTTTAAAATGAATGGAAATGCCTGCAATCCTTTTGCCAGTTTATTGTGACTTACCAGTTTTGGCTCTCTATAAACACCGCTGTTCATGATTATTACATTACAACACAGTGAAGGGAATTTGTATTTTATATATACAAGGAGCTAGCCTTCATTATTTGTAAAGGAACAGTGGAATCCATGAGCAACATTTAACCTTTTCAAGTTGCTTTTCACTTTTACAATGTAAATAATTAAACAGTTTTTAGTATAGTACCTTACTATCCATTTTGCTTATAGTTTTCCAACTGGTTAGAAAAGAGATAGTATAGCTTGAAACTGAAACAATCTTCTGCAGCTTCAAAAAAATCTTATCCAAAAGGGTGGTGGTGTTTTCCACAGAATGACTGGTATTGCATAGTATGCAAAGAAAAGAAATTGTAAAGTAAAAGTCAGTCCTTTAAACAGGTAATTAGCAGAGTCACAGTTTATAGACATGAACACTGAACAGAGGTCTAGTGTAGAAGTTTTTGTTGGTGATGGGATGTTACGCCCATTTGTGATTTTAAGCTCAGTACTGAATGCAAGAGAACAGGCTGCTGCATTTCAGACAAAAAAAAATTACATAACAGTACATGATAAATTGGCTTATCTTAGAAGCATCAGTAAGTACCATTCAGCTTCATTGCTTTTCCACTTCAGAACACTGGAGATGGGTTTGTGCTCAGAATTCATTTTGTCATTGAGCAGCCCTATACCAATGAGCATTCTTATAGCAGCTGGAAAGTAAGTTTTCTTACACTGCAGGTTTTATTGTTGTTATCATCTGTAGAAAATGAATAGTCTCAGTTTTTCAAAGGAGATGCAGCCTGCCATGGACCTGAGATTTAAAAGAATTTGAGGCTCTTGCCTTTGACCCAAGTCCTGGTTGCTTGTTCCCTTGTATTTGGGCTCGTGAATAATCCTTTGAACTTAGAAAAACATAGATTTTGAGATATTTGGATGTTAGTGTTTATTTCTTAGAGTATTTTTAAATACTAAAATTGGAAGGAGAACCAATTTCCTACTTTTTCCTCATACTGCTGTTATGTAGTTGAGTCACTCGAAGATGTTCTTTTTTGATTAATTCACCTGCAAGTTATTAATTTAGCTAATAAACTGAACATTGCAGGGCCTGTATTTCTGATTGATTCTGCCTGGACTTTCAGGCTACAAATAGAATATACAGTGCTGGAAATGAGAATATTCTTTTTCTACTTGTGGCTCAAAGTTATCTGATAGGAATTGGAGGAGGAAACAATAAAATGTCACTGTGCAGAATATAGCCAGACTTCCATGTGATTCTCTGTACATATATACTCTACTTAAATAAAACTGATTTCTGTATTTTTCTCTATCATAATGTGATACAAAAATTTGCAATTTGATCTCTAATACAAAGGAATTCTGTTTGAATAGTGAAGCCTTTGAAATGGCTGACTTCTATGAAAAATCAACAGCTATTTTTGAAGCAAAGAAGACATCTTCAGAAACTGAGATCAAAGATGAAGATGACCAACTGGAAGATCCAGATGTAATAAAAATGGCTGTTAGGTTTGACAAGTAAGAACGCAAATTAAATTTTTCATTATCTTGCATGTATACATAAAAACTGAATTTCAGTGCCTTACAGCTTTTTTTGTTAAGTAACAGTTTGCGTATCGGAGCTTACAGGGTGAATTTTTGTGAAGCAATTTGTGTACATCATTACATAACCACTAGCATCACCACTTTTCCTGTGCTATTTGGATGTCATAACACCTTCTTTAGCTCCAGGCTTCCTGAAACTGCTTAATTCTTTCAGTTAACTTACTAAAAATGCTAAGTGATTAAAAAAAAAATCTTAACATCTGTATGTAGAGGAATGTGAGTATACAAAGATATACAGTTCAGTTATTTTTAGTGAAATTTGACTAAAACACAATACCTGTTCTAGAAAAAGTTCTGCTCAAGTTTCAGGATGCTCTTTTCTAAGCAAAAAAGGTATGTGCTCATCTGCAGTCTTATAAACATGTTCCAGTCATAAGGAATTAATTGAAAAACTATTTCATGGTGTTATAAACAATATTACTCTAAGTAACCTTGGATTATAATCTGTGAAGTTTATAGAATTGCTGTTGCTTTCCATGTTATATCTGTGTTCGCTATTTTTGCTATGTTTGCTATTAAGTCTATCAAATAGCTTAAGTAGAGTATGCTATAAAATGCTGCGTGACTCACTGAATACAGTGGCTTTACAGTTTTGTTGGTTTTTTTTTCTGCCAAGTACAAGAGGTTGTAATTCCATGTCAGTATCTGAATCAATGCCTACCTTTCCTAACTTTATTTGATAAATTTGCTGTCATAACAGAAGCAGCTTCTTTTCTTTTTTCTAGTGTTTAATCTTATATCGCTGCTTATAATAAGCAATGTCAAACTGTATCTTTATTCTGCGTCATATGTTTAGTCAGAATCTCCTTTCAGGGACATATTTTTTCTCTAGTTGTGTTACTACAGGATGTGAATATTTGGAAAGAATTAATAGAAAAGTTTAGATATTATTTTAGATGTTATGTTAGACATACTATTTTTCTAATAGACTTATCTAATAAGAAAGCAACATTTTTCTCATAGTTTGAGCTGTAAAATTAAACCAGAAAGAATAACGGGTAATAAAATAAGCAGCATGATTTGTTTTCAAATAGAATTCTGCACACTTGTTGAATAAAATTTTTTCTGTCTAGGCGAGAATATCCACCACAGATTACTCCAAAAATGTATCTTCTGGAATGGTGTAGGAAAGAAAAGCATCCTCAGCCTGTTTATGAAACCGTGAGTTAATGAAGAAACCCTTTCAGACCTTTTTCCTCTGCCTTGTCTATTAAATTCAGTATTTTAGAACTCAAGCTAGTGAGAAATTCTGCTTCCCATTCTGGTGTAGCTCTTGAGTAAGCAGCTTCAGAAATGGTAATACACATTATCATGGAATATGTGTATTGAAATATGGAAAGTATGGAAATAACAGCTCATTTCATTAGAAAATAAAAAAAGTCAGACCTTCAGTCTAGTTTTAATTCACATGTGAAAGAAATAGCTTTAACTACAGGTCATTACATGGGAGGCCATGACTGTCTTTTACTTCCTCTGCAAAGTAGAGCATTTGGATTCAGAATGTTTTCTCTGTTGTTGCATGCTGTTACAGGTACGAACTATACGCAACAGGAGCAACTGCTTTGTTAGATATTACTTGTTGGGGGATTTTTTTAAGCAAAAATATTTGCAGTTTGGCCAATTTCTTCATATCTTTTAAACTTAAATATGCAAGTTTAAAGTTGTGGTGTGATTTACAGTATTTTTAAAGGTGTCACTTGATTGTGGTGTAAAGAATAACAAGGGACTTAATGTTGTTTCATCTGTAAGTAACATTGCTATTTTTTGACAGCCCACTCTCTTTTAATTATTTTTTTATTCCAGGTTCAAAGACCACTAGACAGATTATTCTGTTCAGTAGTGACAGTAGCTGAGCAAAAGTACAGATCAACTCTCTGGTAAGCAATTCTTAATGGTTTTTTCAGCTCTGTTGTAATTGTTTCTGAATTTTTGCATAAAACTTGCAATGAAAACGTACTGAAGTTTATCCCACTTGATTTAGATAGTAGTCAGGTAAAAGCTACCTTCTAAAGCTACCTCTATGAGAGAGAAAGGATTAAAAATTTCTGAATTGTCTGTGTCAAGAGGAAGTAAGCATTAGTATAATCAAGTAAACTGTTACAGATTTTAATTCATTTAGTACGTTAGTTCACAGATTGTATTGGAAGGGGAGCAAATAGGTGATGTAGTTCAGTGTGTCTGTGAAGAGGTCAGAAGCTAAATCAAGGGAGGCAGAAAGGAATGTTGGAGGAGGTAATGTCTTCAGCCATTACAGCAGTTCCAGTCTCAATAACAAGCCAGGATTAAGTGCCTATATGCCATGAAGTGCGGGGCAGTTTAGTGGCTTCTCAGAGATCACAGTTAATCAACAGTTTCAACCAGGACTGCTCTGAAGTTGTGACACTATTTTACACAGTCATCTGTTAACACTGGAGTTGACTTCAGGCATTTGCCACCTGCGTTGATCTTGATTTAACTGCAAAACTAGAGCTCAGCATTGAACATTTTAAAGAGGACAAATGCACCCAAGAGTTCCTGGTGTTTGCAGCATTCCGATTCAGAGACTTTAGGAAGCTCATCTGATATAAAATCTTGAGAAGAAAATGTTTTCAAATACAGAATTTAATGAATGTGTAATCTGCAGTCCTGCTCAGAAATGACAGAATTTTTATTATTATGGAGCAGTTCCTGCTTGTGTCAGGGTCACTGAACTTGCAGACTTACCAGAGTTTATATTTGGACCTGACTATTTCAAGAAAATTATCTTTCAAAACTCAGTTATTTGTATAGTAATCATATTTGTAAAAATAAACTTTCCAAGGATTGCAACCACTTCGGCCAAACACATGTTGACTTCATACCTTTGAAATGAGAGTTTGAGATACAGGTTCTGATAGAAACAGATTTTCTAGGAGCATTACATCAAGAGTTGTGCATCAACACTGACACCTAGAAAGACTCAATTTTTGGAGCTAACCAATTTTGTTCTTCTGCTATGACATGACTGCAGATGCTGTTTATTTCACAATGTTGCATCAGAGACAGATAATAGATTGTCTCTTGGCAGTGTAGTGACTTCAGTTTCTACTTTTACCTGTGGTTTGTCTGCTTTGCTCTTCAGGGACAAGTCAAAGAAACTAGCAGAACAGGCTGCAGCTATTGTCTGCCTGAGAACATTGGGTGTCCCAGAGGGAAAGCTGTGTGAGGGAGAAAATCACCTGATTAACAAACGCAAGAGGGAAGATCAGGAGCACTTGAATAACAGAGACCATGGAGAAGATATTGCTGAGCCTTCCCATAAGAAAGCTAATTTTATTGAAGAAAGTTCTGACAGGAATGTGCCTAAGATGCCACAGTAGCATGAAGAATAGTGGTTTCACACCTGGGCAGCTGCAAGTTAGCTCCTGTTTGTATATCTTGCTCTTGACATTTCATTTGGATTCTCTTGGAGACAGATAAATTCTCCAGTTGTGAAAAATGCCAATGAGATGTTTACTGCTCAACACTCATAGTCTCTGTGGTGCCTTTCAGACACAATAAATTAGCAGCTTGATTTTAAAGAACATTGAGAAGATTATCCTAAATAATAAATTTTTTTAAAATACCAGATATTGTCACAGCAATTTTGTCTTTATTACTTGTTTTTTATTTTTAAGTCATCTCTGGTTTCTTGGTAAAGTGTATATAAGTACATCATCTGTAAGTAGATGGATTCATTGTGGAACTATGTAGTTATCAGCAAAATTAATGTAGGAAAATATTAGTAGTCATGTAGATACAGTTTTGTCAAGTGAATTTCATGCATGTCTTGAAAGCTTTATTTACAGCCATCAGATATCAAGAAAAACATCCTTCAGAGAGAAGGACTTAAAAATGGTAACTCTAAGCTTGAAAATAACCTCCTTTCATAAATTCTACTTCATTTTACCCTTGGAAATATTACATTAGAGTTAGCCATTTTTTCCTGGTCTTGGGTATTACAGTTCTGCCTTTCCAGTAAGGAATTGAAGCCAAGCCTGGTAGCCATGAATTTGCTGAATGAAGGTGCTTTGAGCTCTTTTGTTCCCTTGAGCTCCTAGTAAATGTCTACATGTATATTATTTGCAATAATGGGCATCAAAATATGGTCTTATGTTTTGTTCCTGAAGTGTGACCTAGTTCGCTTCAGTATTTAGCTGTTGATGATACTGGTAGTCTTAATCAAAGGCACATGTTTTCTTCTTAATTTGCCATCATCATAACTTCCTGTTGAAGTAAACTGTAAATACGTGATATATGACAAGAGATGATACAGACCCAGTCTGATTTCATGGCACTGTAACTGAGCTTGTCTGATTGAAACTAGAGTTTTGAATCTCCAAAAGAATGTCTTAATGGATAAAGAGAATTCAGGGACGTATGGAGACGGTGATGTAGCTTCCCTCAGGAAGCTGAGGGTTCCTCAGATTATAAATTCTGGTCTGAAAATAAAATGTCAGGGTTATCATACCATGATCTCTAAAGTATTTTGTGTAAAGAACATACAAAATACAGTTCATCTGGAGGTAGTTCATAGTCTTCCTGTTTCAAAATTTGAATCTTCTTCCTCAAGTGATAGTGCCAGTGTTAAAACATAATTTTTCAATGGAAGAACATCTTACCAGATAATATTCAGACTTATGAAATTAAATAGATATGTATTCATCTTTAAAATATCTTCTGTTTAGATAAGAGTAATTTATTGTGAATCTGTATGGGCTAAGAAGACGAAAGTTTGGGGGTTTTGTTGATTTTGTAAGTTGTAGTAAATGCAGTTAAAGATACTTATATTTGATGTAACTTTAATGCTATAATTTTCCTCTGAAGCAGCAAAGGAATTTGCAGTATTAACCAGAAATTTCAGAAGTGGCCATTTTCCTATCGCAAGTGATGTCTGGTTATTTTGTTTCTGTCAGGACTATTTGGAGCTATCATAGAATAAGAAAAAGTCATTCTCAGTTTGTCTGTGCTGTAATTATGGATGGCCATAGCTAAGCCAAACAGAGCATGTGAAAACGAGAATGAGTTGTCACTCTGTTGGAATGGGCATTCAGGGCTAAATATAGCAGGGCTGTAGATTATGGCAGATGCCTAGAAACATGTTGGACACCCTTGATCAGGTTCAAAAAGAACTAAAGATAAGTTGCAACTGTATATAGGTGTGTAAGCATGTCAGAATGTTTTGGTTTAATGACTGTTGCATGCTTTCATTCCTCTCCCCTCTATTACAACTAATATGTTACTTATTACCCTACTTCAGTCATTCAATTCATCCTAATCGGTTGTATAATTGCATTTATTCTGTATATTCCCTTCTCAGTGCTACTTTTGAAGCAGTTACTTCAGTGAGCAGTGTTTTCCTTCTAGAAATTATTCTATTTACGTTAGTTTTAAAGAACAAACCACAGGGGTGACTGTGTGTTTCTCCTGTGGCTCTCTTTCTGCTGTACCTTTCGTAAACAGAAGGTGGCAGATTTCTCCCCTCACCCCCAGAAAAAAAAAAAAATAATAAAAATCTAACTTCTGCAGTATTTAACGATCAGCCATTGCACTTCTGCATTCTTGCATAGGGTGGCAATTGAGTCCACAGTTGGCTTGGAGGATATCTAGCCTCACTCTTTAGAAATCTTGATCTTATTTTATTTTTTTTTAATTTGAATGTAGTGAGTATGTATGGTACTTGGTCAATACTAACCAAAGCTATGTTCTATTTTAAGTATTTGCTTAGTGAAAACGTTTCACTATTAATCCTGTGGAACTCAGTGAAGCAACTGGGTTTTTTTTTTCTGTCACAAGGTTACAGCAAGCAAACAAAAAGTCAGTTATATTTTCTTTCTTCGTACTGGTGCTGCAGAAACAATACCTGCCCAAGTGTAATCCGTGGGTATAGAGAGAATGGTAAATTGTCCTCCCTGCAGTCTGCGTGTGCTCTGCATATTAGAAATGTGAATGGGAATGCAAAGATATTTTTTACTAGCCCTCTAGCATGGATGTACTCACTGTGGGGCTACCTCTGGGGCCTTGCTTTTTGGAATGCTTTTTGGAATGTCCCAGGCTCTGAGCCCAGCCCCACCCTGGAATGTGAGGTTAAATGTTGGTGGTACAAATACAGAGTTTGAATATCAAAATCTTAAAAGAGTTCCCCAGTACTGCAATTTCAGAAAGCTGGCAAGTGAACCACATGTCAGCTCAGCTGCTCTCTGATTCAAAGAGTAAGCATGCTTTGGGTTGCTGGGGGAGGAGGGATGGTTTTTGGTTTGGTTTGGTTTTTACTTACCCGTTATGACCTGCAAAGGATATGCTTTTCAAAGATGTTAACTGGCAAGATTGCAAGAAGTCCAAAACAGGTGTTAGCTAGAAAGAAGTCTTCATTCACAGAAGTGTTTTAGCACCACTTCTTTAAGGAAACCTACAAGCTTAACATACTTCAGAGCTGTTGCCTTACTGAACAGGAGTCTGCTTATATTTGGACTCCAAGTCCAGAAGCTATGTTGATGAGATGGCCTGTAAGTTTCTGTCTGTAACACAGTACAGGAGGCTAATGTTTGAAGCTTTTATTTAGAGTTTCTGATGGCAAAGCTGATGAGAAACATTAAAAGTGAGACGCAAAGCCTTTTGTGAGGAGGGAGTGCCTCTTGTATTGTCAAAAAGCAGTTGTCTAGGTCAGTTAAGGAGAAGAATTGATGAGCTCCAGAGGGAGTCTAGTCTACTCATCTTTACTCAAAGGAGCATTGACCTCAGTGTTTTTTATGAGAGGAGGCTTGAAAAATCTTCAACCTTTGTGGTGTTCAGTTAGCTCTCGAATGAAACTGTGTTCTGGGAGTTAATGTGAATCTGTCTGTTAAATATCCCCTAGATAAATAAATATTTTTCTCTTGCCCTGGCATGGTGGGAGAGTCTCTCTTTTCCATTTTTAGAAGTCATTGTCTGAGAGAGATCCTCTTGTGAGAGTTTACAAAAGACTGTAGTACAAATCTGATGCTTCACACGTTTTATTTTCCCTTGACAGTCTCCATACATTTGTTGATGCTTCAGTATGTCACTGTGTTTGATATGAAAAATGAGCTTCCTGTTTAAATGCCTTTAAAAATTATTACTTGGTGATTGAAACTGCAATGGCTATAATCTACAGTTGTGAACATGGATTTTTGATTAGTATTCTGTTGTGGAGGGCTGACAGAACTGGGTTTGAATACAGATCTTCAATCTGTACTTTTTAGCCGTTTTAAAACTGTACATGCATTTTACCTTTCCTCATAAGGTTTTTTGTTGGGTTGTAAGAGTATCAATGCACTGTTAGGATGCTGCATGTGCCACATATGCCTTTGTACTTGCCACTGTCCATCCTGTGTGCAGCTGTTAGAAAGGATTGTTAGTATTTGGTCATAAGTCTTTATGTTAAATTTCTTGAACAAATTGATAAAATGGTTTCCCTCATTGTAATCTGATAAAAGCGAGTGTTAACAAAAATGTTAAAACCATGAGCTAGAATTTTTAAATGTTTTATTTGTTGTTGTTTCAAGTATTGGAAAACATTCTCCCTTTGATTATAGCCTGATTTTGTTTTTCTAACTCAAACTTCATTGAGAAACTTCCCAGTGACTTACGAGATTTGATTTGGTGCATGCTTATTTACTTAAGAAATTAATTACTGAATTTTCTTCAGGTTTTTCAGGCAGCAAAGACATAAATGCCACTGAACACCTCACTGTTTCATTAGCTCTCTGAATCATTATAAAATTCAAAGCAAATTTCCTGGCCATCTGTGTATTTGCTTTAGTTACATACTCCTGTAAGTCCCAGACAAGAAACAATTTAAAAGCTGAAACCATCATCATTGTTTTCTTCTCACTGTACTGAAATACAGACAAATCCTGGACACCAGCCAGAAAACAAGTAAACATGTCTGGGTAGAGGTACCTCTATGAACCACAAAACCCATGAGATCTTAAGAGTTTTAAAACTGATGTGGGGCAGTTTCACTTCAGTAGAAGAGTGCATTTCCCCTGTTTGACATACAACTGTTTGTTTTGTTGCTTTGCTTCAGTTTTTGTTTGGTTGGTTGCTGTTTGTTGTTTTTCCAGAAGTTAAACATCCAATGTCCGGATCCTTTGTGAATATTCCATAGGGGCATCAGAATAATATGATTTCAGAAAGCTGGAATATTGAGACTGCAGGATTAAGCCAGTACATCATCGCACAGTTAGACCATGATGCCTGCCTGCCGAATTGGTGATATGGAAATTATAGTTTACTGTCATGCTGCCCTGTGACATTCTCTTATTGCAGCTAATTCAAGCTTTTCATATTTTGCTCTGTCTGATTATGGAATAGTACTTACAATATTTATACCCCTTAGGCTTATGAATACTGAATTAATAGATATTTAATAAATTGTCTTTTATTAAGTTTTATCAGCATGCCAAATGTTCCAATGTAGACTATAAAATCAGTACTAATTTGCTCACTAGTAGTGACCTGAGATGTGTGCTTCTACTGTAATGGCAGTGATGCTGGGGTGAAGGGATAAATGGAGCCAAAAAATGAGAACTAGTCGCTGAAATCTTTCTGTACATAGTATTAATT